GGGGGGGGGGGGGGGGGGGGGGTCGACGAGTGCGTTTCGCAAGTCTATTTTTACGTTTTAAAGTACGTGAAAGCGTTAAGTGGGGAGAGAGATGTAAAAAAATCCGAAATCTATCGTGACGTAAGTTATGACGGCCCCTTGCACTCCTCCGGAAAAATCATGTAGCGATCTATTGGAAAAAGTGTTCAACACCATTTGGACCGCGTCGAGCAGAATGAAACCAAGCCACATCATGCTATTGCCAATGGCAATTGGGCAGTTTAATTTTGTACAAAAAATCGGTTTAGCAGGGTTTTTTTTTTTTTTTTTACAAATTTCGGTGAATTTTTTGCATATTACGAAGCAAATTCCTTGACATTTTCAAAAGAACTTGCGCAACGTTCTCTTCTTAAAATTACCCAGTTTTTGGCAATAGCTGATGTAGTTTGGTTCCTCTCTGCTAATCGCGGTCCATTCATAGACGACTTTCATATTTCAAACACAAATCAAGGGCAAGGGATGAGATGCCCCTTCCCCTTCTATTTTTTAAGGGCACGAAAAACCTTCGAGTTCCATTAACTCCCTCTTTTTCACAATGATTCATAAATTGGCATGGGTTTATGTAAGCATGATGAAGTTTATTTGCATTGAATAAGTATGCATATCTTACACATATGAGGATTCTAAACAAATTTAGTGGGTGAAATACGATGATTACTCACCACAGGGGTCTATCGGTATTGACGATCTGTATACAGTCGCGAATTTTTTTTCGGACGGAACACTCCCCCTCGCGCCCAAGGCTACACCAATGGGATGAATTGTAACAATTTCAGGATCGTAACACAAGGAAATATAAAGTACGCATTGCCTTTTACATTTCGCCAACGTGTACCACGGGATTACGATCTGCCTGGCGGTAGTATAGCCCTGTGTCAGGTTGGCACAGAAGCCAGGCTACAGGAATACAATGTGCGGTGATCTCGATAGAGGAATAATTGATGGCATCTTGAGCGTGGGTAATTAACAGTTTCAGGTGCTTTTTTATTTCAGCTCCTATTAATTGGCAATCGATCCCTTATTGTTGGCGCGCGGTCGCCATTTCTCAATTTGACGGCTGAAATTTTGGCTCTACGGTCTTTTCACGCTTCTGCCGTAGCACGGAAGAGGTTAGACACTGCGAGACTAAACCTTGGTAAATTGAAAATTAACAATATCGATAATTTTCTCCACGTCTCAATTGAGGTATATAAGGAATTCCAAAATTGAAAGTAAGTAACCATTTTCCTCTGTTATTATAAGACTATTAGCAGAAATGTTTTTATCCAATGGATTCTCAAGCTTCCTAAAAACATGTGCCCCGCGGGTTGTATCCATGGAACCGGTTGATACGAGCTTCAGATATAGGTCTACGAATACATCGTAAAAAAAAAGAATCGAGCATCATATTGGAAAAAAAGGGAACAAATCGAGATTCAAAGATTTTTTTTTTTTACCACTACCCTTGAATTTTCAAGCCGGGTCAAATGGACCAAACCATCTCTTGCGGAAGAGTTGTGGTGCCAGTGCATGCGAACTTTAGATAAAGGTATACACATTTATCCTGAAAGAAGGATCAGACATCAAATTAGGAAAAAAAGAATAGGGTCAAGTGTCAACCTAGCCATAGCTAATAGAGACGTATTCAGGCTTCCTTTTGGTAAAAATATTCTCCTGAATCTGAGTGACGCCTCATTGACAGCATTGAGTGGAGCGTTGCGAGTTCACGCCTCTCGCCATGACGCCTTCAATTTTGGAGACGCAACACGGACACCCATCAAGCACGTATAGTTGTATCCCTGCGCCGTCATCAACGCGCGCCGTTTCCCTTGCTCTATTTTCATGCTATGTTGGTTCCATCTGTCTAATTCATAGTGGTGCTTCAAGGGCTACGAGGATAAAACAACCGAAGATTGGAGAGGCGTAATCGGCTCTCGTTTTTTTAAAATTTTCTCTCAAATATGAGCGACACTTCATTGGTAGTATTAGTTCGCGCTTCGCGCCATCGCGCCTTCAATTTTGGAGACGCAACACGGACATCCATCAAGCACGAATAGTTGTATCTCCGCGCCATCATCAACGAGCGTCCTTTCCCTTGATCTATTTTCATGTTGTGTCAGTTCCATTTATCTTATTTGTATTGATACTTCAAGGGCTTCTTGAGTAAAACAGCCAAAGGTAGGAGAGACGTGTTCGGGCCTGGCTTTTTAACTTTTCTCCCGAATCTAAGCAACACCTCATAGGCAGCATACAGCGGGACATTGCAAGTTCACGCCTCGGGTCATCACGCCTTCAATTTTTCAGATGCAACAAGGACATCCATCAAGCACGAATAGTTGTATCTCTGCGCCGTCATTAACACGCTTCCTTTCTCTTTTTCTTGTTCCATGTTATGTTGGTTTTGTCAGCGTAAAAGTTACTTCCGAAGATTAATACTCCGATTCATCTCATCATTACTATAATTTAGTAACAAAATTGAGCATTTGCTTTGGCCATCCTCAGAGAAATTGCAAAAACTAGCTCAGAGAGTGCTTGCTCTGATACCCATCATTCAGCTTTTACGCATTTTACGCATTTTACGCATTTTATGCTTAACGTAAAAATACAATACAATATTGAACACATTTTAAAGTGTATATTTTTCCCGTCCATTTTTAAGAAAATTAACAAAAGTGTATCTACTAACATCCTAGACGTCTTTTTGAGGAATCTTCTTTTTCCTTGCGCTTCTGGTACATTTCCCTATTCTGGAATAAAAAAGTTGTTTTCCGAGGAGGGTGGCCTAAAATTACTGACCGATTGTTTTGGTCTCGATATGTCAGCAACGCGGCGCGTTGATATCATTTTCAAAAATAAAAATAGGTTCATTTTGAAAACACCTCGGGGTCGTTGGGATTAGTGTGTATCCCGCCGAGTGCACTGTACATCCTCGAAAAGAATGTTTGGCAACAAGTGCTGGTTTAAGATTAATTACAAAGGGATTCTCATTAGATTTTCTCATCGACGTTTGCCAACTGTCGCGACAAATAAATCGATCTATCCAACCTGGCGCGGTTGCAAGTGCTCTGCTTTACACTCACTCCTCTATTCTGAGCGAACTTTTTTTTTTAAACAATACTCTTAAATTTGGCAATCCTCCAGATGGGCAAAGGATGCCACAGCGTGCAATGGTTAATCCATATCTTTACTATGTACAGACATTGATTCTGTGTTCTTGCATTGATGCCAGATAGACTGAGCCGCGGGTGAGATCAAAATGTATACAAATTTATCCCTGATCAGATTCATTTAATCCTCTCTTGTCTCTTCACTCTTATTTTCCTAAGAACACTGAAAAAAAAACTCCGGCCGTGGAAGCCGCAATTACGGGCAATATAGACATACCGTCCGTTCCGGGCTCAAAGGCCGAAAATTCCGGCTGCTGGAGCAATCAAAGCTACGCCTCCAGCAGCCGGAATTTTCTGCCTTTGAGCCCGGAACGGACGGTATGTCTATATAGCACGTAATTGCGGCTCTCACGGCCGGAGTTTTTTTTTTCAGTGAAAGAACGTATTTATGCTGAAAGGAGATATGTGCATAGGATTTGCGTTTAACATAGTTTCTTTTAGCATAAACACGTACTAACGCACTACATGCTCTACGTACTACACATACAAAGTTATGAGCGCCTTTGCCGCCCGTAAATGAACGGATTTAACTCTATTCAGCCTAACTACACTGTCGTGATAGCGAAGAGAGCTGTAATTATACACATAAGAAGGGTTTAAACAAAATGGGCTCCATAGCGTTTGTGCGGAAAATTGTATAGAAAGAAAGCCTACGTACATATGGACAGCATTTTGCTATTTTGGACCTATAAATTCTGGCTCATCTGAAAAAACACGTATGTGCATAGGGAAATTAATGGCACATACGTTGTTTTTGAACCGGGCCGGAATTTATAGTTCCTAATTGCAAAATGTAGTCCATATATAGGTCGCTTTATAGCACTCCCTCGCGCTCTACGCTCCTCCACTGCTGCAGAAAGTCTACGTTCTTTGTCGAATTGTCACCAATCATCCGAAAGACTCTTAGAAATCGTTTGGATGATTAAAAAACAACAAGTTTTATTTCAACTACATAAAAATGTCATTTTTCATTTTCATGCGTCAAGCTAGTGGTAGGTGAGACTGTCGTAAGTGCTATCTTCTGCATCCGTTTGTAGTTGCGGTTTGGACACACAAAAAACAAATTTTCAGGTTTGAAATTTGCAGAGAAGGCATTTTACTTAAAAGTACCGTTCCGAACGGCTCTTTGTAGGAATAATGCGCCTTACAGCTGTATTGTCTGAATAAACTATATCAATTTTGGCGCACTTACAACTTTGTCATACGTCTCTTTTCCATACGAAGTATACAACTACGTGGTGACGAAATATTAAATAGGAGTAATCATGAAGTTTTAAAAGTATAGGAATACTCTAAGTTTGAAAATATTCTACGTGAGAACTCTACTACTGGAGATTTTGATCACGTTTTTGCGTTGGGAATCTCCGTAATTTTCTTCCTTTCCTTAAAAA